AAATTAAAACTGGGGCAGTTCAACATCCATGAAATGTGGAAATTGAGAATTATTTTTCCTGTGACACTCCATGCAGTGGAAGAGGAGAGTAGTTTTGCTGATCATAATAATTTATGCAAATTATGAAGCATTATCTGATTTTATTCCTGTGGAAACGTGGAGGCACAGGGATGCGTGGGAGAGGAATTCAGTGGATGTCAGATCCCTGGGAGCATCCAAGGGCTCTGAGCAGCCTGATGGAGTTGAAAATGTCGCTGCTTGTGCAGGGATTTGGGAGATGATCCTTAAGGTCCCTTCCAGCCCAAACCACGATTTATGAAATGCCCAAAAACTATTTTATAATGTGACACTCACAAACTGGACCTGAATTCCCCGCTCTGAAATTCACACCTAACTCCAACCCATGGATCTGCTCATCCAGCAAACCTCAGGTTGGAAAAGACATGGAAAACCTCCAACAACGTGGTGGAAGAAGATCATGTTGTCTTGAGAGGATGATGTTTTGAGAAGATTATGTTTTGAGAAGATGATGTTTTAAGAAAATCGTTTTTGGAGAAGATGATGCTTTGAGAAGAGAACATGTCTTGAGAAGATCATGTTTTGAGAAGATTATGTTTGGAGAAGATCATGTTTTGAGAGGATGATGTTTTGAGAAGATTATGTTTGGAGAAGATGATGTTTTGAGAAGATCATGTTTTGAGAGGATGATGTTTTGAGAAGATTATGTTTGGAGAAGATGATGTTTTGAGAAGATCATGTTTTGAGAAGATCATGTTTTGAGAGGATGATGTTTTGAGAAGATTATGTTTTGAGAAGATGATGTTTTGAGAAGATCATGTTTTGAGAAGATGATGTTTTGAGAAGATGATGAAGATGATGTTTTGAGATGTCTCTTGTTCTGGTGCATCCCACCCATCCTGAGCTGCCAGCAGATCTCCTGTGGGATGGTGCTTAGGGAGCTGCCACCGCTTCCTTTGAACCTTTAATCCATTCATTTTTCCTTCAGGCTCATCCCAAGACTGCAGATATTCCATGTGGGCTTTCCCAGGAGAGGAGCCCTCATTGTGGTCAGCATTTCCTTTGGAAAATCTTCAGTCACCTGATGGGACAGGAGCTCTTCCAGCCCCAGTGCCAGGTCTGGAATCCTTGGATGTGCCTTGGGAGGTCACCAGTCCCTTGGTGCCCACCTACCCCATATCCTGATGTTTGCTGAGGTGTTCTCTGTGTTCAGGATGATGAGGCTGATTTTGGGAAATTCACTGAGATGACCCTGAGGCAAGACTTTCAAGGGACTTTCACCTGGCTGATGTTAATTTATAAATTCAAACTGGACTCTTCTTTTGAAGCAGATCGTTCTTTTCCCAGAAAAACCCAAACTGGAGCCATGTCAGCAGTTCCACTGTGAATTTTTGGGATGCTAATGAATTTGGAGCTTGGGATAGTGGAAGTTGTTGGGGTTGGAATGAGATGATTTTTCAGATCCCGTCCAACCCAAACCATTCCATGAATCCGTATTTGGGAGAGGATGGTTTGGAGGGACACAAAAAAATGTCTGTTCTCCAAACCTGGGGCTGCCAAAGGCTTCAGGAGCTGAGTCTGAAATCTGCCTACAAACCTACATTCAATCACCTGATAATGATTTTTTTTTTATCTTCACTTTAAATAATAACAATTTATGACCACACACACTTGGAATCTTGTTGCATCCAGCAACAGATTCCTTTTTTTTATTTTTAAAATTTAATTAGTAAACATAGATTTTCAACCAGCTGCTTATTTGCTCTGTTTTGCCTCACAGAGGACAAGATAAATGTGTTTTTGTTGTATCCAGGGTTTGGTTTTGTCCCAGGTGGCTCTGCAGGTGTCCCTGCAGTCAGGTACAAGGTGATTCCTGGAATTTTTTTGTAGGGAAGAAATCCATTTTTCCAGTGATGGCAACTCCTGGCATCACTGGAAAAATGTGTCTGGAAAAGTGGTGTCCAAATCCAGCTGCTACCTTTGAAAACATCACTGGAAAAGTGTTGTCCATATCCAGGTGCTACCTTTGAAAACAAAACTCAGGTTGGCCTTTAAATCTTGGTCCAATTTCCCTGTGATTGTGAAGAACTTGTATTTAATATCAGTGATGTGATTTGGGTATTAAATTTGGGTGGTTTTTCTTTAGAAAAGACCCAAGCAAAGGTTTTGTCTGTCAGAGCTTTTTGTGAAGAAACAACCAACCTGTTCCAGTAGCTCATTTACACCTGAAGTGCAGCATTCAGCTAATTGAAAACATGGCTGTTCTTAATTATTTCCTTGCAGCTCATTGACATTCACAAGGATCTTGTTGCTGCAGCCCCATAAATATAATATTACTTTACAGGTTTTTATTTTGGCACTCAGTTCTCCTCTACTGGCATATTTATAGTCTCCTGTATAAATGAATAATTTTATTTATTATTAATTCATTTGAACTTTGCTGTGTCTGCGTTGCTGTACAAGTGTTAGGGGTGGAAGAAACTCTTTTTTGCTGATTTTCTTGCTTGCCAACCGAATCTTCCAGTTACTTTCACTACACGGGGAAACAAGCCTTTGGATAAATAGATTCTTTAGTATCTTATACACTATATACTATATATATATATTACAAATATATACTATATATATATATATATAGAGAGAGAGAGAGACATCATAGAGAGATAATATATATAGTATATATATATCTATTATATATATATGTTTCTCTCTCTATATATATATATAGACTCATTATATATATACTATATATATGATATATATACTATATATACATATAATATATATTATATATATACTATATATAGTATATATTATATATATACTATATTTTATATATAGTATATTTTTTATATATATATATATACACACACACTATAAATATACTATAATATAGTATATTAGTGACAGATCAGCACAGTGAGCAGTGTCACTGCAGAGCAATAAAATCCAACTGGTTGATGATTAATTATACTGGGGGGTCACAGGGAACCAAACCCAAAAAAATCAACCCAGCTTCCCAAGTAAATCAGATTTCCAGGCCAAAATCTTCCATTCTGAGGGATATCCTTGGGATAAATGTTATTGCATTCCCTGATCACAACAAGACAGAGGAAAAGGATCAAGCTCAGTTGAAATCCTGGAGGATGAGGATGGGTTTTGTCTCTTCTGTTGTGGCTGTGCCCTTGACCTGTTGTGCTCTAGACCCTGCAAAGCTGTGCCCTCGTGAGTTGGCAGAAATGGGGTGAGTGAATCCAGTCAGGAGGTTCTTCCCTGGGTTTATTCCATCCCATTGCCTTTCCAAAGTCAGTTTTAGTTCCAGCTCTTGGACAGAATCATGAGGAACACCATTGGATTGTAAGAACTCAACCTTGACCGAGTTCTCCTGAGCTTTATGGAATATTAATTTTATCTTTTCTTTGCCACTGGCCTGTTTTGAACATCAGGAATGTTCTGGAGATCTTCTGTGCTTTGGGGGCCATGGGATGGTCAAACATGGAATATTTGTGTTGGGTACCCATGAAGATGCCTTGAAGATACGGAATTTGAGATCTGGAATGTTAGATCTGAAATATGAGATCTGGAATGTGATATATGGAATGTTAGATCTGGATTATGAGATATGGAATATCAGATATGGAATGTTAGATCTGGCATATTAGATATGAAGTGTTAGATCTGGAATATGAGATATTGAATATTAGATCTGGAGTATGAGGTATGGAATATGATATATAGAATGTTAGATCTGAAATATGAGATGTGGAATGTTAGATATGGAATATCAGATCTGGAATATGAGATGTAGAATATTAGCTATGAAATATTAAATCTATAATATGAGATCTGGAGCGTGAAATCTAGAATATTAGATATGGAATGTGAGAAATGGAATATGAGATCTGGATTGTGAAATCTGGAATATGATAGATGGAATGTGATATGGAATATGAGATCTGGAATGTTAGATCTGGAATATGAAATCTGGAATATGAGATCTGGAATGTGAGATCTGGAATATTAGATGTGGAATAGGAGGTGTGGAATATGAGATCTGGAATATTACTTATGGAATATTAGATCTGGAATATTCAGTCTGGAATGTGAGATATGGAATATTTGATACAGAATATAAGATAGGGAATATTAGATATGGAATGTTAGATCTGGACTATGAGATATGAAATATTAGATGTGGAATATGAGATATGGAATATTAGATATGAAATATCAGATCTGGACTATGAGATATGGAATGTTAGATATGGAATGTGAGATCTAGAAAATGAGATATATGAGATATGAAATGTGAGATATGAAATATGAGATATGGCATATTAGAGCTGGAGTATGAGATCTGGAATATGAGGTTTCTATCACAATTTTCCAGAGAAACTTGTCTGTCCCTGGATCCCTGGAAGTGTCCAAGGCCAGGTTGGACAGGACTTGGAGCAGCCTGGGATGGTGGAAGCTGTTGGGGTTGGAATGAGATGATTTTTCAGATCCCTTCCAACCCAAACCATTCCATGGATTTGGGAGAGGATGGATTCACACACAAAACCTGCAGTGAATTTTAGAAGTTCTGTGAGCACTGGATCAGGGATTGTCTGCAAGGAGACACAAACCATGACCAACACAGAACATGGGAACTTGGCTGTGGAATCATTCATGGAACGAGCTCTGGAAAAGCTGTAATTAATGAGGCAAGGCTGATTTAAATGCTGGGGGACAGGACATGTGCTCCATGGAATTCTGAGGGAGAGGCTGCCAGAGGACGGCGTTTAATTCATCCAAAATATGGTTTTTTAGGATATTCTTGAAGAAATTGCACAAAAAACCCCAACAATTTCCAAGTAGTTTTCTGCATTTTTCCAGATACACCTGACATGCATATGAAGGGGTTTGTGGTTTTTTTTCATTCTTTCTGTTCACAATGATAACATAAATTTAATATGAATTTTAACATTTTTTACATGCTTCAGGACATAGAAGCAAAGGTAAGGAGCTGAATGAGGAAACAAGGGAAAATCCAAACTTTTTAATGTATTCCTTGGGTGTTTGCTAAAAAACCCAAAAATATAGTCTTGATGAAGGGAATCAAATCTTGTATCTGTACAATATGTGGTGTAATTGTTGTAATGACCTTTATTAGTTAATTATTAGCCACTAAAGATATTTTATTAAAAAATGCTGAACCTAGAGAGTATTTGCATTGATAATTTAGGTCCTTTAGATCCTTCATAGCTTGTTAAAAATCACTTGTCTCCTATTTACACTGCAGGACTTAGAGCTTTATATATTTTTAATAAATTCCTCTGTGCATGTGTGCTTTTTAAATGTATTTTCTATTTTTTAATGAGTCCCCTTAATCCTAGAAAATGGGAAATACTGCAGATGAAAAGCCAAAAACATCAATTTGCTGGGAGCAGTATCTCTTAAAAGAACACTCAGGTCATATTAGGATTGAAAAGATAAATATTTTAAATTATTCTGTATTATTTTGGGTTATTGGACATGAGAGGGATTCTGTGGTATTAGTGAATACTTCAACCAATCTGGGAATTTGCAGAGGAGTGATTCCTAATTAAACAGAACAGGAGAGTTTTGGATGCACTTTTTAGCAAATATAGAAAAGGATTTTGTTTTCCTAAATATCCACCTGTTTAGAATTAGGTTTTATTAAATTCAGAAGCGATTTGCCACGTTAATTCAAATGAAAACCAAAAATAAACCCCAGCCTGGTGCATTCTGGTGACGGTTCCAAATCCATTTGGGCAAACTCGGGCAGAGCTGTTGAGGAGGGGAGGAAAAAGCCCAGAACTATGGATAATATCCTTGATATTGTCAGTATTTTTATTATTCTGTTCCTTTTTTTTAGGCCAGGCAGCTGGAAGAGAAGGACAGGGAGCTGAAGAAACACGATGCCTACTACAAAGAGCAGCTGGCTCGGCTGGAAGAGAGGGTAAAACCTTTTTTTCTCCTTTTAATGCACATTTTTCCCTCTTTTTTTTCCCCTTTTTTATTCATTTCTCCTCCTGGTTATATTTACAAGATGACTTTTTTAAGGAGAGAAAGATTAAAATTCTGGCCAGAAGGGTTATTTTTGTCTTGCTGCTGCTGTTTCTGGCTTAATATTGACAAGGTGGAAGGTTTGATGGGAGAATATTTGTTTTCTTTCCTAACAAAGTTCTCACATTTGCCGTGGGATTTCATCTGTCATGGTAATTACAGGCAGAAAAATGAAATAATGAGGTTATTTTATACCAATGCTGATGAAGAGCCAGCGGAAATGAAGAAGTGTCACCAAGTAAAATAATTTAAATTAAAATAACAACAAAAAAAAAAGTGAAGTGTGAAGGGACATAGCGAATTTCTGCTTTCAGTGGGTGGAATTAGTGATTCCTCCATCAGTACAGGGAGAGTTTAATTTTAATTCCAAGTTTATACCATGTTTAAAAGGCACTTCTGTGTCTTTATCTCATCACAGACTTGAAATTAAACTGTGGAGAGCAGCTTGGGAAGCTGTGGGATTTGCTTACAGTGGCTTAACATATTGCTGTTAACACCCCTATTCTTTACAGGGTATTATTTTATAGGATGTTAATTTCAAATAATTACTGCTGTCATCATTTCCTGGCTCCCAGGTTGGTTGTAACCTCCAGCCTGAATACATTTCCCTCCTTTACCCCTCTGCCTTCTTCCTGAGCTTATATATTGGTGATTAATTCCGATTTTTTTTTTGTGTTAGTTGGTTGTGAAAATTGCTAACAAGATTCATATTCATTGATGCATCTTAGCAGGCCAGAAGAAAACCTCTTGTTTTTCTGGATTAGGAGGAAGAACATGTTGCATAAATTATCAGGGTGTGTAATTGGTCTTAATGAATATTTTAAATCGAGGGTACAACTGATACCATGTCAGTGTTTTGTCCTCCCTTTGTGAAGATGACATTAATGAAGTCCCATGTTCTTGGCAATGAAAAAGAGCTTGAAAGGATGAGGGAAAATCAGTTTAATGATTCTAAATCGGTGCATTATTTAAACATATATTCAAATTATTTCATATATTTTAATTAAAAATTAAGATCCTTCACCAAGAAAAACTCTACAGAACACTTTCCTTTTTTCTCCCATAACTGGCTTGGTGTTAGAGGAAAAAGCTTCAATGGGATTTTAACCAAACTGGATTTTTCTGGGGTCCTAGTGTGCAATAATTCATGGCAAAGGGTGTCTGATAAACCATGGGTCTTGGACAGCTTTTTCTTTCACCTTTTTTTACCTTTTACATCCTTTTAGATTTTTTTCTTGGTCATTTTTCACATTCATATAGGTCATTGGCACAGTGGCTTCACTTGCTCCTGTTAGTGAGGACTCCAATGTGTGTAAATACATTTTTGTGCTGTGCAAGGGAAATAATGAACTTTAAATAACTTAATTTGAGTTCTGCTGGAGTGCCACCCCCAGGGGATGTGAAATAGCAAATTCTGCCCTCTCTTGGTTTCTCTGCTTGGTTTGGAAATCCCTGAATTCCTTGTTTTATACCATGGGTGATTGCTCTGCATTCAGAGTGGAGTTTCTGAGGTAAAATCCTCTGCTTTTCCAAGTTGTCATCCACTTTGTCATCAAGGTAAATTTTCATCTCTCTCCTACACAAGAAAAGTGCTGTTCCAGCTCTGAGAGGAGCAAACTCTGTGTTCCAAATCTGGCTTGGAAATTCTTCAGAGAGGTGGAGATTTGGGAGTGAAAACCTGGACAAGCAGAGGGGTCACAGCTCCTGCAATCCCACCTTCCCTCATGGGGTCACCTGGGAGCTTCTGTGCTGGGAATTTTGAAAATTGGGATGGAAATAGGTGTGGAAATGACAGAGCATGGAAAGGGGCTGGTTTGTTGTTCCAGTGGAAGGTGCACAGAGACAGAGCATGGGCTGCTCAGCAGAATTGGAATTTTGGAGCAGGAGGTGGGGTGGGAGCAAGTGGAGCTCGGAGAATTTGTGTCAGGATGAAGAAATGTTCAATCTGAGTCTGTCACCTGTGACAAAGAATGCTAATTACAATCTCAGATCATTCCCACATCAAATAAGCACACTTTGAAAACACTTCAGTTATGCCTATGTGGTATTTCTGGCTGTTGCATCATGGAGTGTCAGAGCTCATCTCAATGATTAATTGGCTTTTTGATTATTTAGCCTTTTCAATTAGGAGCTTCGTATTTGTGTTCTTCAGTGCTGCTGAAAAAACAATGCAGACGTTGATAATAGAGGGAGATGACAACAGAACAGATTAGTGTCAGCACAGTGTGCTCCTTATGGAGAAAATTATCCATATTCAGTGCCAGATGAAGCCTGTCAATTATAAAATATTTCAGTGACTGAGGGAAGATGCTCAACCTTTACAGGGTATTAATACAGGACAAAATAACTGTGCACAAGTGACAGCTGCGATAGTAAAACATCAACAATTCTATTCTCAGGGGGAATAACTGTTCATAAATTTGGTTTATGTGCTAAAAACCTTTTGATACTTCCCCAAAACCCAGCAATTCCCCGACCAGCTGCCAGTGTTTCTAGGTCAAAGATAGCACATAAGCTATTAGTTATTACATGCTCCACAGCAGCAGAGCAAGAGCAGAGAGTTGAACAAAGCAGTTCAAGAACAACCTTGCCCTGCTCTGCATCTGACTGGGGTGTGCAGCTGTGATTTAGGTGCTCACATGTGGGGCTTGGAAGGGAATTTGTCTCTGGTTTTCATTGTCCACCCACAGGAGGAAAGTGATTCTTGAGTGCAGCAAAACCCAGAGATAAAACAGTGCTGAAGTCGCTGAGATTTTGTGCCCCACACTGTGTTAATTATTTATTTACAAGTGCAAGGTCCTGCACAGGGGTCAGGGCAGTCTGTTGGGAAG